ACTCGTTTCTGAGATACAGAGTGTCAAAGTTGTATTCTAATTTATGTTTTTTGTTAATAAATCTCAAAATCATTGTGATATTTCAATAAAGTTTCGTACCTAGTAGTATTTCTCAATGACAATGTCAAATTGTATGTTAGTTTGTCTCTTTCGTGGGGGTGGCGCCACCTACATGTCTTGTGAGTCTTTTGAAGTCATAACTTTTTTGTGTATATCTGTATCACGTTTTCCACTAGAAAAATAGATTTCTAGAACACTTTCGTGTAAAAAACAGCAAATGTTTTCGAGTTATTGGGATTTGAGATAATCAATGCAAGTAATTTGGAATGACAAGAAGTTGGAATTCAAAATTGATTTCTCAAGTGAGGAAAATCATTTTTTCTATTCCACTTTGAAATAGGAATTGGGTGATATTACAATTCGATTATAATAATAATAATAACAAACATCACTGTCATAAAACGGATTGAAAGAACATAGGTACAAAGAAGTAAGAATCATCTTTTGTCTACATTCCAATGTTGAATGTAGGAGAATATTGAATGAGAGAAGAAGAATACACTGGCGTATCTTTTCTGATATTCACCATTCAGAGGCGACTAACGAGCCCCATGGAAATAATTCAAATGCATCGCTTATTTCAAATCCCAATTACTCGAAAACAGTTGCTCGCAGCGACGTCTACCAAGAATATATTTTTCACGAAAAAGTGTTTTAGAAATCTATTTTTTCACTTTGAACCGTGATACAGGTACGCACAAAACAGTTATGACTTTTCAAAAGACTCAAAAGACATGTAGGTGGCGCCACCCCCAAGAAAAAGACAAACTAACCAAGGCTGTCATGAAATCACATAATGAGATTTCATTCACAGATCCTAACAAAAATTGTGAAAAAAGTTAATACAGGTTGTCCCATAAGTCATGGAACAAGAGAAGTGGGGCGGTAGGGGAGGGGGTCATTTTCAATCAAACTAACCGTATATGTGGTTATTCAATTGTTGATGGTTCAGAAGTTATTGATGTTTGTTCATTTCTATAAAAAGAATTGATTACAATAAAACTATGTCACATTTGTGATTTTTTCTTTCACAAATCTCATCCACATGGATGCTCCTTTCCCCAGAAATAGATCAATGACATGTATTACTTTTTATCAATCACCTGAGAAAAATTTTGTTTCACTTGAATTTTTTCATCAAATGAAATATTTAAGTCGATTTTTAAATGACGCTGGCAAATTTAAAAACTACCTTACGAAGATAACCAATCATAAAAAATGTTGCCCATTGCACTTTCGAACCATCAACAATTTGATAACAACATATATACGGTTAGTTTGATAACTAATGGCCCTCTTCCTACCACCCCACTCATATTGATCCATTAATTATGACACACCCTGTATAAACAAGAGCTGACAAATGGCCTCCTGGGGAGTTCTAGCCATCTGTGAAAGAGGACCCGGATGATGGTTTTTTGTTAATATTTTCGAAATCCTTCGTGTTAAATGAATTCTGTACTTGTATATATATATATATACGTTTTTATGCCCGATTCGAAAATTTGGAGCATCTCCCGAAATTTCGATCAGGGGTGTGATAAATAGGTGGGTCTAGGGACATATCTTCACCAAATTTTTTTTTGTGCAATTTTTGACAGGTTGACCAGGAAATATGGAAATATCATCATTTCTACCTGAAAATAATACGCTGGTTGAGTTTCCATAGCACTCACCATTTTCGAGATAAATCCATTTCAAAAGTCTGCTTCGTAACAAAAATAGTACTATTTCTTAATAGGGGACCGACTATAATATTTTGGAAATCATTTTTTTTTATTGTACCTCTCATATCATCACAAGGATATTATAAAAAAACGGTATTTTCTATCGAGAATTATTTCTTGGGAAAATTTGGTACCCAAAGAAAAAGCACTATTTTTGTTATCTCGAAAATGGTGAGTGCTATTGAGACAAGACAAGATTATCATTTCAAGTAACAATCATAATATCTTCATAATTTTTGGTCAATCTGCCGAAGATTGCAGAAAAATATTGGCGAAAGAAATGCCCGTATAGCCCTACCTATATATTATTCACGCAACTGGTCAAAATTCTGGGAAATTCTTAATATGTCCAAATCGGGTATGGAAAGTGATACTTATACATATACGAAACTTCGCTATCACAGTGGGCTTCGGGAATATTTTCATTTCTGGAGTCATGTTCATGAAAACTTTTTCTACTATTTCTGTTCCTAAATCCGTGGTTGGAATATTTCTATGTAATTTCGGGACACCCTGTATAAATATGATGAGCTTCTCAGAGGAGATCATCCCGTTGATCCTTGCCATGCTTTTTTATTGGAATTAGGATTTTTTTCGCAAGAAAACTAACTTCATTTTATTGTTCCCCATGCTCTCGAACCCCCATACGCGAATCTGAATAAACAGGATTTTTGCTCAACTTTTTCCATTCTCATCCTGGACAAAAATAGTGAATTCAAATTCACTTCAAATTTTGAAACGTTCAATGGCTCTAGTAAGTAGAAAATCATGATTTGAAAGAAAAAACAAGATATATAATATTTCATGTTGAAATTCCGAGTAAATAATTATAACAAAATGGTTATTTATGCACCAAGATAGTAAAAAATATCAGTATCACCCTGGAATCAAGATTATATTTCGAAGCTTCAGCTAAGGGGTATAAGGTCCCTTAGTAATAACATTCTTCACTACCAAGTTAATTTTTTTTCACCATAAGCAATACATTCCAATCATTTTAGTTCCGTAGTACTGGAATATAAACATATATTGTCACTATGAGAGCACTTTCTTTCTACATTTTATGAAGATCTAGTATAGCCATCACCATGACATTAGCATATAACAAGTCGTTATTGATGAATACCTACTATATTCGACTGCCATTTCCATGAATCTCGCATCAGGACAGTGGATTGGAGTACATTATGACAAAGGTGGCTATGTCTTTATTGACTATAGTGGTTCAAAAAATGACGACAACTACCTTGATAGCAAACACACTTCACTTTTCGAAAAGGAGTAAATAATGGTAGGTTTCATAGCTTGTATGATGAAAAAATGCTGTTGAGATGTACCTGCTGTTTCGTAACCATCAAGAACAATATTATGAGATCGTTTTCTTGTTAAATAATTCCTAATATAATTTCATATAAAATCAAACCCTTTCATTTCAATATTAACGCACGACACTGTCTCAAATTATGTTCGCCCAAGTATTACTTAGTTGAGATATAAAGAGGGGGCTGTTTGAAATGTGACTCACTGTATATGTGTGTAATATTCTATTTCCTATATTTTCTAATAATAAAAATATATGAAGGATAGTTGGCGTGACGATGAAAAAACATTTGAATGTTCATTCTCCAATTTTACACATAGTATATAAAAAATTATGTGTCTGACAGTATGACTTCACCATTAACAACTTTGAAAAGAGAGACTCAGGAAGTCCTAATAATATGAGCTGTTTGGGTGCCATAATGACTTCATTAGAGACGCACAGATGAAATAATGTTCTTCTACTCAGATTGATAGATCTAGATAGACAAATTATGTTTTTCTATTTCGCATATTCAATCAAGTCCTTGTGACATCGAAATGCGTACCGATGAGCCGTTCTTTGAATAGGCAAAATAGGGTACCAATCAGAATAATAGTATTTAGGTTCATTACACACTACACACGTTTTATAAGACATATTGTCGCATTAGTTTTTTTGAAGCAATCCTTGATTCGCTCCTTGCCTAAACCTGAATAACAGTGGGCAACAGAGGGCTATCTCGCGGAAAAATCACTCGAATTTGCTGATAAGGGCAATTACCCTTTTATCATTCATTCATACAAAAGAAGTGGCATCGAATACTGTGAATAGGAAGCAAATCGGATATAAGTATGTAGAAAATCCATCTTTCTCTCACGCATTAGATTCATTGACCGAAAACATTAATTTTTTTTAAGTTTCCTTCTACTGGTCAGTAGTACGATGGATAATAAAAATTTTGCATTCTCGAGTTATATTGTATTATTCGAGTTGAATATGGAATGTTGGTTTGTTGAGAAAATAACGGCAATGGATATTATCGAGATTTCACAAATTTATTCGCACTGGAGTTGATTTTTTTTCCATCGAAATAAAAAATTAAACTCGTCTCGTGAACAGATTGTTTCACGGCATAACAAGAATATACCTATCCAATGGTGAGAAAGTAGAAAAAAATCATGTTCTATGGTATTGAAATTGAGATAAATCGCAAAACAGAAAAAAATCTTGCATTTTTATAACATCAGTCACGAGTCTTCCACTACCCTGTATATCAAATCATGTTTCACGTAGGACGAAACGAATTGTGTGTTCAAATTATACCCAGGTACCAAGATGACTCTGAGGATCGATGATAACGAAGTAAAAAAATAAATTGCATTCAGGGACCTACCTTCCAAAGACTGTTTGTAGCCCTTAACAAGCATTTTCAGATGTTGATAGGAAAAAATTTCTCTCATTTTCATCCGCAGGGTTTCCTAATGGGTTATGCGAATGATATTCGGGGACACCCTGTATATTATATGAATATATATGGTATCGAGGTTCATAGGAAATTTTTCATAATGTTTCATCACAATATTATAGTATTTAATTGTATCGATGAGTTATCTATTGTTGAAATAATCATAAAGAATTGATTTGAACTCCATATCTCAGATAATGACAATTTCAATGCCAAATGATGATAACGCGATTCAAGACTTTTCACGTAGGAGGAACCCCTATTCAGATTCCGTCTGCCAGATTGATTGTTGATGAGTTTAATCTTTGGCATTACCTCACTGTAACAGTTTCGATTTTATTCTAGTATTACTATAAAACATTATTATCTTTTTGATAAGAAATAACTAGAAATGAAACCACTCGAAAACAAGTACCTATAAAATTGATATCACGACCATCTTGATACAGTTTCGCAATTTCCGTTGAAAATCACAGTATATAGTCGACATGAATTCTGTTTACATCTTCGTCGCAATTGCATTCTGCGGTCTACAATTGGCCCATGGAGAGATAGTAGAAAACACAGCTGACCGCTCCTTTGAACTTCATGCCGGCAATTGCAGCAAGGCAGTAGCCAGCGACATCGTATTTCAAGATCATCTTCGTCTATTTGCAATTCCTTTCGTCCATAGAAGTGGCTTGGTAAATATCCAAATAAGTGATTATTATGTTGATAAAGGGCTTTCACTTCAAGTTGATAGTGACGTCAATATGTCAACACATACAGTGTTGCCAGTTGGAAGAAAATGACTGAAAGACCAACCGCCCGAATATGGATATGTCTAGTGTTACGATCGTCGGACGTTATAATGTTTTTGTAACCAACTCAGAAGCCGTCCATTTATGTTGCAAAATCAGCACTTGAGATTGATAAATGAACTTCAATATTTTAATTCAAAGAACCATGAACCTGAACAATATACTGAATATAAAATTCAATGATAACGAAATTCTTGAAAAGGATAATATCTTGAAGAATGATTTATTATATAACAACATCAACAAACAATTACAAATATTAGAATTGAAAATAACTTATTCTCCTACCAATACACAATTATGGCTTGAATTTATTTTTCTTAATAAAACAAACAAATCAGTATTCACATTCACTGAGTTAAAATAATAAAAACTTCGAATTCAATTTCGAGGTTATCTAATCGTCTAGAATGTTTTTCATTTACAATAAATTGATAAAATGAAATAAAAAATCGGTCAACTGATTTAATTTTGTGAAAAATCAATAGTGATGCATCTACTTATATTGGAAATTATGAAATGGATAACAAGAGTTGTTCTTACTTCAATATTCTCAATATAATTCATAAGGAAAACCCACAAAAACTCATGAAACTTACACTGAATAATACAATTTTATTACCCTCTAAGCACACTAAAAAATTCCAAATGTCATTTGATCTTCTTCACTGTTATCAAAATCATTCTTACTATCATCAGAATCATCCTCTCCTACATTTATGAATTTTCTCTCTCACACCAACTTTGCAATATTTATTCAGTATGGAAACACTATTGGCCCATATTTCTAGAGTAACTTGCCTCAGAGACTCTTTCCACATATCCAGAGATTTTACCACAGAACTCCCATGCTGGCCAACATGATCTTTATAATAAGTGTTGGTGATCTCCCATATCATTTCAATTGGGTTGAAAATACAGTGGTATGGTGGAAGTCTCAGTACCTGACCATACTTTTCTGTATTGGTATAGAGCGAGTCCGATGAGATTTTGTAAACAAAAAATATCGCTGTAATGAAGTTGAAACCGTGAAAATGGTCAATTCTGATGGGTTATCGAGAACAAGAGTAGACTAGTCAATGATATCCTCAGTTTGAAGTTCGAATAAGCAGTAAAATTCTTATATTCAATATTGATCAAACTGAATACTATTTTTCACCAATCAACAAATCGATATTCCTCTACAATCGACAAATTGGAAAATATGGAAGTAATCTATAGACAAACGTGACCCGCCCGGTCAGGGCAACCCACACGGCCTGCGTTAACCGCACTGCCTGCGTATCCCGCACGGTCGAAATGACCCTCACGGCCCGCGTAATTCGCACGGCCTGTCGCGCTAAACCTTATGAATCGGCCCGCTATGCCTTAAAATGAAAATGAAAGTATGAATTTCATCTCAATATACGTGTAGTGAGGACAAATCAGATGATTTGCTTCAAAATGTCACTGCGTCCATAGTTATTTTCCTAACAAGTGCGGAAATCGATTTCTTTTCGCACATGACTGCCGTTGACACTCACGGCGTGAAACGGAGTTCAAGCAAGCAGTCGAATGCGGGAAGGGCACTTTCCGCATGAGTTAGGAACAATACATTTTTACATGCGGAAAAAATCGATTGATTCGTTCAATTAATTATTCAGGCATAGAGGAACAACAACTATCTACTGATCATTATAGTAATAGCTATTGTGAACTTACATTTTGACGCATTATGAAGGTTCATTGCGGAAGCCAGTAGGCCCATAAGATGTTTGGTCTCTAGGTTTCAGACACTTCTAGGAAAAGAACCAAAAATACTTCTTCTCTATTCGGTATTTTCATTTCCTTATTTTTGCACTATTCAATAAAACGCGTGTATTGCTACTCACACCTTGCTTAAGTATTCGTTGGCAATAGGTAACGCATCTGTATCGCATCCCTATAGCTAGAAGTTTTTGATCACATTGTGGTAACTTAACTGAATCGAAAATGACAGTAACGCTGTGTCTGTCACCTCGACAATTACAAACTCCTTTGGGGTTTGATTGGCATTACCACAATAATTGTTTCCCATCAGATCAATACAAATCTATAGAGGAATTTTTATAAAAATCCATTTCTCAATTTTCACAATGAATAGTGCAATTTGATGGATGATTCTGAACATACATACTCAATACTGCAACAAACATACTTAAACCTCCATATTCCATCACCTACCACTTATATTCTGTGATATTATCATGTCTTCGTTTTTCCCGCACTAGACCGCAAACATATTTCCTGCACCAGTGTGGGAAAAATTTTCCCGCACAGCAGCGGAAAATGACACTTCCCAAACTAAATTGCGTGTGTGTATAGGGTGAATTACGCACGCTTGTGAAAAAAAGAATTTTCCTATCAGTGAGCCTTAAAGAAAAATTCAATTGCTTGTCAATGACAATTTGTATAGAAAAAGTTTGGACGTTTCGAGAACGATTCTGCTCTCGTTTTCAACATTAAAATTGAATTTTTTATATGGCAAATTCGTATTTGTCCTGACACTTTCCAGTTCTCAGTGACAATTGGTGACGTTGGCAATCAAATGAGTTACAGAATGTTTTCATTAAGCAATCACGAATTTACTGTTTTCATTTTCAGATTTCAGTAGTGAGTACCATGTTCTATATATATCAACTGAACAGGATGCAATGATATCGTCTCCGTTCAGAAGAATGCAAGCAGATTCCTTGATTTTTCTTTGCTGGTAGTTATCTCATTCTCCAATGATTTCAATATCATTCCACTCGGCCATATGTTGTCCATCTTCAGTGAGGATATGTTCAGCTAGTTTCGATTTGTCGATGTGTCTTTTCTCCATATTGTATTTATGTTCCTTCGTCCTTACAGAAAGGAGTCTCTTGGTCACAAACACAAGGTATACTGTAAATACAATTTCTCGACGATTGTTCTTCATTTTTCGCTTCCTGTTCAGTTGATATACATAGAAGATGGTATTCCCTACTGAAATTCGAATATGAAAATGATAAATTCAGGATTAATCAATGAAAACATTCTGTAACTCATTTGATTGCCAACATCACCAATTATTGTCACTGAGAACTGAAAAGTGTCAGGTCAAATACAAAGCTATATAGAAAATCCAATTTCATGTTGAAAACGGGCGCAGATTCGTTTCCGAAACGTCCAAAGCTGAGTAGAAATTCAATGTTTTTATTATATACCTCCATTTCTCTTCTCCTAACTTTTTTCAATACAAATTGTCACTGACAAGCTAGTGAATTTCTCTGTCGTTGGGCTCTCTGGTAGAAAAAATATTTGAACGAAGTGACATTTTGAGGCAAATCATCTGATTTGTCTCAAATACACGTATATTGAAAATATATTCATATTTTCATTTTATAGAAACAAGGAGAGAAAATCCAAAAAAATCTGGATTAATGAATATACCACCTCCTCGATTAACCTACAGACAGTACTCAGAATATTATTGACGTATAAAATAGAAGGAAAGGATAATTCTGCAAGATATAGCATTTTTTATAGGATAACTTGATAAAGGTTTCAGTTGGGTATAAGTAGGTAGGTTTTAAAAATTTACACTCCTAGCAATGACATAAAATTCCAGTTGAAATCTTCATGAACTATATGGAATTCATTCAAATACTATAAATATCAAGATCATACCGAAACTCATGAATTTATTCCAAATCTTCAGAAAATATCAAGAAATAATGAAATATATTCACAGTTGGGGATATTTCTACTCATAATCTCCAATTGAAAATTCCGAAATGATTTGTCGCATACTTTCGAAAGCGAGATGCTTGGTAGCAGTCCGAGAGTTAAGACGAACTATGAGAATTCATCGAGAGTCTAGGGATGAGTATTCAGTAAGCAACAATTTTTTATACAATTTGATTGACTTATTCTCGATATTTCCATCATATCTATACTCGGAGAGACTGGCATTTTGGAAATTTGATTGAGTTAACGTCAAACTATGTCATCACCATGGTAACTTGATTTTTCAACAGTAACAATTTACAAGGGCACTTCTTTAATAAATATCATTGTATGGAAAGACTGGCATTTTGAAAATCTGATTGAGTTAACGTCAAACTATGTCATTACCGTGGTTACTTGATTTTTCAACAGTGACAATTTACTGGGGCACTTATTAGTTAAATATTTGTCCGATTGGCTTATACTGGTCACTTGGTCAGAAATACGATAGGTATGAATCACATGGAAACAATTTTCATCGAATTATTTATATTATCATGTACCTCTAATTATACCTAATAGTATGTTATAGTATTTTTGAATGCGATTGGAATATACCCAATTTCAATTACATGATCCAACTACAGAAATTGGAAAACTCTAGAAGTGTGGCCTTCGTAAATTACCCTGTATACTATTGTTTCAGTCTTCATGGTATGGAAATGAGAAAATTTATTGCATCTTGGCCTTGAGTGCGAGGGATGAATCAGAAGGATCCACAGTTTCCATAAAGGACGGTGGTCTGGGCCAATACCGGGTTACTTTGGAAATGGTATCAGAAGTGAATCATGGCTTGGAATATAATATTGTAGTTTATGGAAAATAGAAATGAAGTTTCAAGAATCAGAAGCAATCAACTATGGTGGTGAATGAGATATTGAGGCAATAAAATTTATTCGTGGACCCATTGACAGTATTTTAATCTGATTGTGTCTCCTACATAGTATTTTCGAGAATTAATTCAACCTGGAAGTAGTCTCACGAATCAAAGATAAGAAATATATCACACAATAGGGTTGTACACACTAGTCGGATTTACGTCACATACCTTTTTCATATTGATTATTCCGTGTATAAATAGTAATTAATGAAATCATCTGGTATTCAAGATCATCGCATTATTTTCATCGATAATCAAATTCGGCAATTTCGAAAAATACCAAGATTGATGACGTTATGAAACCGACTTCTGGCTACCGCATAAGAAATAGAACGTCTTGCATTTTCTATCAGTGAAATATATGGTGAATAATAGGGGTGGTCCACTTCAATAGATAACTCTGTACATTCTGGACTCTCGATTTCTGTTTTTAGTTCTGAATTTGATAATATGATTTTTCAAACTTGTGCGAATTATTATATCATAATTATGTCTTTCATATTCGATATTGTTTTTTCATCACCCTGTGAAGCAAATCTGTTTCCTTCACAATATTTATCGCTATCGGTATTGACATGGCACAACTACTATTCCACTTTAGATCAATACATAATTCTGATCAATATTGAACTGTTATTTCTCGCAAGAATTGACTCTACAAATAAGGAGTTGTATGCAGGGTATCTCACATAACATGGGCCACACCATCACCTGGTGAACCTGAATAGATAAAAAAAAATTGAGAATAGAAATCGATCACAGTCAATGAACTAGTTATTTTTAATAATGTCAACTTCACAAGATGATCCATATATCTTTGAAATAGCAGAGATATGTTTGTTCAAATGAAAAACCTTGGAGTTTATCATATTTCTGGATACACTTATTGAAAAAAAAAAAAGAGTTCAATGATTTATGTTAACATGGGTCCGATGAGATCACCTGTTTCGGACACATATCATCTTTTTCAATGAATAGCCAGATTACAAAGCTCTTTAGAAACTTGAAGAATCAAGCTTTTGATGCCGGATTGTGGTCATGAATTAACAAATTTCGTATTTCATCTTGGCCTCAGGTCAGAATTTTGAAATTTTGAATTTGACGAAAGTGGAAGGTATTTTGCAAATCGATCATTTTCTCGAAACTTCCAAATGGATCACCCTGTATTTTATTCGATCCTTGGATTTGTGACCTTTGGCAAAGTCTATTCAAGGATGGAATGAGAAACAGGTTGTCCCGTTTGAAAATTGTGAGAATATGATCAGTTTGCAAATCCGAAAGTTCTCAATTTTGACCAAAGGTCAAGATGATCACATACTAAGTATGTCGATTCATTACTAAAATTGCGCATCAAAGCCTTGATTCTCAACGTTTCTATAGAGCTTTGAATTTTGACTACTTATTGAAGTAGATCGTGTATAAGTCCGAAACATCATAGTAACAAATCCAGTCTTTGATACAATAACACCTTATGTATTGGATACATATTACCACTGTTCGTTGTCTCATATACCTATACTGTATGAAATCAGCGAACACAACCATTTGATATTATACCTATCAAACCTGATGATACATTGGACATTATAATTACCGTTCATTGTTTCATCGACCTACTTTATGTTATCAACAATCACGATCAATGATATTAATGAACGTGACACGTAGAACATCGATATTGTTCATTATCACATTGAACTAGAGATTAATGTAGCAATTGATATTACATAATTTGATGAATTCATTAATGAGTTGAACAATGTCATCATAACAATTCACCTCATCATTTTATTCACGCTGATTTTTGGTTCAGTGAATTGGTAGTATTCCTACTATGATAATTTTCATTGGGTGAAAGCTCGAGTAATTGAAATAATCACATAGATTTGAAAAATACGAGATATTTTTATGATATACTGTATCTGTGAGCAAATACCTACATTCGAAGTATTTTTCAGCTGAATGGAATATCAATGGGGTCGTTAAGACATGATCAATGTTTTTCATTATACCTACGTATACAAGGTGTCTGGAAATTTTGCGCAAAAAATCAAGGGGTTGATTCTGCATGAGAAAACATAAAATTTATTCCAAATATATACGTGGGTCCGGAAATGCATATAGTGGAACAGATACTGTGTGTTGAACTTTTTAGAAAAAATCGGTTTTTCATGAAAATATCCTTCCACAGATTCTCTTGAAATTTGGCGACGATATTTTTCGTCATGAGAGACTGATTCAGTCATAATCAAATTGGAATTGTGAAATCCAGTGGCGTCCTGGAGGCCCACCTTCCGAATATTATTGTCAATAAAATGTACTGCACTGATTTTTTTTTATTCTATGTATTCATATCCTGATGATCAACTGAAAATATAACATTTCGGTAGCCTGAATTGTTTTGCTATTCCACTGCTTTTCCGTGGAAAAAATAAATACTAATTCATTGAATGAATTTGTGCATATAACATTGTTCAAAAATAGGGGTGAAATCAAATGTGTGATCCATGTCCATGAACGTATAAGAATCAAGATTCATTTTCTTCAAATTTCATGATACATGTTTGACACACTTTTTATTATCGAAAACTACACCTTCCTGGACCGAGAATACATATAGTTCTCAATATACGGAGTGTAGAGTGTGTCAAACATGTATTAACAAATATTTGGGGGAAATTAATCTTCATTCTCTTTTCATGTCTATGGAAATCAAACACGCATTCATTATCACCACAGTTTTTGGAGGAATCTTTTGGCACAAATTTATGCAATAAATTGGTATTTATTTTTTTCAAAGGAAATGAAGCAAATTTTCAAAACAATTAAGGAGATCTGAATGTTGTATTTTCAGTTACTCAATAATTTCAGGTATGAAAATACAGAATTCGAAAAAATCAGTGGCGTACATTTTATTGACAATAATATCCGGTAGGTTGCCCCCCGGGAGGCCACTGGATTTCATAATTGCAATTGAATGATGGCTCTATCAGCTCCTCATGACAAAAAATATCATTGCCAAATTTCAAGAAAATCGGTGAAAGAACATTCGAGATATCCATAAAGAACCAATCTTTTTAGAATGTTATAATACACTGTATGTAGAAAACTATGCATTTCTGGATCCATCACGTACATAAAAACTAAATTTCTCATTTTATCATGTAGGTCGAATCACCGCCTTGATTTTTTGCGCATAGTTTCCGGAAACCCTGTATACAGTTTTGGGGTACAAACTGAAATGAGTGATAAATCTCATCGTTTTGATCAAAAAAGTTTATATAAATATGAATCTGATCTGGATCAGTACCTAGCGGAGCTACATCAGTGGGTCGAAGCTTATTTCTTTCTTTCTAATGTTTCAAATATACTAAACTTATACTGAAATTGCAATAATTTGAAGCATGACTCCAATCTGGATGGATGGTGAAGTTTTTGCTCTAGTTTTCAAAGTTGGTTAGATGGTTCATGCATATATTCCTCTGTAGGCCGAACATCCTTCCCAATAGGTTGAATGCCATATTATTTGTCAAATATTTTGTTGGTAATAGTCAAAATATTAAACAAGAAATATGGATACAACTGGATTGATCATCTACACCCATACAATTTGAGCGGAACATAGGCAAAATCAATATGTTTCAGCAAGGATATATGCTCATTTACACGGAGAAAAATAGATAGCAGGTATTACCAGAATTATTGTACAGTTTACCAAAATTTCTGGTACTATATGTGACAGCAATAAAAAATGGTAAGTATTATGATACAATTATATGAGAGAAATATTGTAGTTACCAACATAAATTATTGTAATACATCTGAGAATATTTTATAGTAATTCAAAGCAAACGTTCATTGTCCATACCAAACATACATTATTGTAAAAAATACTTTACATTATACTTTCTTATGAAATACTGTATATTCAATTCTAATGACTTTATATGTCTATAGAGCGACACATTCTTTTCAAAATTGGAATAATATTATATTTATGATTATGAGATGGATATTCAATCAATGGAAATATTTGTATTCTTAGTTTGAAGACATGGTATAATGATAATAAGAATAATAATATTAATAATTCATTTTCACAAATAAATGAGTGATAATAACATTATATTATAATGCTTCAACACTGTGTTCAGTCATCTCTAACTCATTCAAAAGAGTTTCAAATTTCCACACACGTTAGACTCAATAGGTACTTCGCACAAAAAAACTTAGGATTATGAATTGAAGATTCAAGAGGCTGTCGCCCAAGCTGTTCCCACTATGACTGCTAAAATGTAACTGCAACTGCGCACTGCTCACTGCACTGTGCATCGCTAGCGTTTCGGAGTAGTCTAAAAATAACTCCAGTACCTAAACTAAGCGGAATTGCACCAGGCACGGATCCAGGGGGGCATGCAGGTGTAGCCTAGATGAATATTCATTTTTGAAACTCGTATTTGAAAAATAATTTTCAAATCCCGAAATTCGGATGAATGTCAAAAAAAAAATTCAAAAGTTAGATCAATAGGTATCCGCGAATAGGAAATTAACGTGTAATTCTAAAGATAAAAAGTGAAAAAGTATTTCTACCAGAAATTCGTAAATTTGCATGAATATCACTACTTCAACGTTGAAAACCTACTCCGCAGAAGTCGATAGTTTTGCGGGACTAAGTGGAGCAAAAATCATCAGGCGATTGCTGGATTCGAAATTCCGTCAAATCGTTTTGATTCCTGCGCTACCTAGTATTTTTCTCAATGAAGTTCTCATATTTTCTCAGAAATCAAATAGGTACACTGATATTTGAAGTATTGAAAAAACTGTATTGCCTAGTGATATGTTTAATGTTTTGAATAGATTATAGCATACCTTCAAATAAAATACCACTTCAGAAGAAAAAATAACTATGTACCCATATGATATACTCTTCAGAAACTTGAATTTCTATTCGTATGTATTGGATCTTGAACTAGAAATAAAATTGTCTCTACATGCATGGTGGTTCGTTCATCCTCCTTTGTTCACTGTA